GTGGGCCTCCCGCGGACCCCAGTGCGGCTGCCCTTGGGCCCCCGCCCGGCCTCCCGCGGACCCCCGCTCGACCTCCCGCAGACCTCTGCCCGGCTCCCCGCGGAGCCCCACCCGGCCTCCTGCGGCCCCCCGCCCGGTTACTCGCGGACCCTCTTCAGGGCCTGCACGCTCAGGGCGAGTCCGGACAGCACCGCGGGTGGGCGGGCCGCAGAGGACACGAGCGACACGCCGGGAGGGCCCAGAGGGCGAGGGTCGGGCGCGGCCACTCACGACACACCCATCCAGGGGACCTGCCGGCGCCATGGCCTCCGCAGGAGATGGGGCCTGGGGAGGCAGATGAGCCCCTGCAGACCAGGCGCTCCCTCGGGTCACTTTGTGACCTTGGGGGCCTCATCTGAGCTCTCCCTCTTCTGCAAATGGAGGCCCCAGTGGCTGCTTTATGCTGTGCCCTTGACTGTCGGCGGGGCTGGAGGAGCCCATCCCAGGGTTGGATGGGGTCTCGGTTGCCCTGCGTGGCACCTGAGGTGCGATAGGCGCCGGCCTTCAGGCCTGCAAATTTGGGCTTGGTAGGGTGCCGATGGGCAGGGGTGTGCAGGTACCAGGCAGGCTGGGCTCCTGGTGTCCCTGTTTAGGGAGCCCCCGGCATCTGGGATGGTTCAACAAGTGTTGGTTGGTCTGGGGAGCTGGCAGGTGTGGTGAGGGGGCTGCTGTGGGAGACTGGGAGACCCCCATGGGTAGGAGCTAACCTAGGAGAATAGGGGGAGCCTTATCTGTGGACAGTGAGGGTCTTGTGGTCAGGGTAGGAAGGCTTCCTGGAGGAGAACAGCAGGGTGTAGTCCATGGGCTCCCCCAAGAAGGAAAGAGGGGGTCTAGATATGTGTGTACCCTACACATCTCTACCCACTCCCCTGCCTGGGGTTCCCTGGATTTGGGACTTCGGTGGAGAGTTTCTCACAGTTTTCAAACTTTGCCTCTTCTTACAGTCCTTGCCTTCCTCCCATCTCCCCTTGGGGCGTCTTGTCACCCCTAGTTCTATATGTCTGCAGCACTGTCTCCTAAGGTTCAGGGCCCCTGCAGACAGGAGGGTCTGGATAACCCAGGGTTTACGTTGTTGGGGCTGTTTAGCTGACCCCTGGCAACTCTGACCTGGAGAAGGGAGTGAAGTGCGTTTTGGGTGGGCTGACGGGCTGTAAAAAAGAAGAGGGAGCGTGTGGGTCTGGGGAGCTTGTCCAACACACACCTGGCCACAGGAGAAACCCAGGGCCCGAGGGATGTGACTGAACTCTGCCCTGATGCCATTCGGAGTCCTGGGTTGGGATGGAGTCTGGAGGAGTGCGGCATGCCTGGCTATGCCCAGGCCCCCGGTCCATCCATGGCTGACTGCTGACCTTGGTCAGCAGGGGCTTGGCCTACCACGTCTGTGGTTACCAGTGGATGGACTTGTTGAGAGAAGGGACATTACTCATTGGCCCTTTGGAGGCAGAGACCCTCGAGTGCTTCTAGGTTGGGTTCCAGTTCTAGGGTGGGTCAGTCTGTTCTCTGGGATGCGACAGTGGGACCAAAATGCTGAGTTTAAAAAATCTCATGTCTGTTACCTTGAGCACAGACTTCAGAGTTGTTTCTCCAGTAAACATGTGAGTGTTTGCTGTGTCTGGCACGGGGGGATTCCAAGATGAGCAGAGGGAGCCCCTGCCTTCCAGGAGTTGACTGTGTCCTCGGGGAGACTGACAACAGTAGATAGATCTACACATGTATAAAACAACAAAGGAGTCCTGGTGGCACAGTGGTTAAGCGCTTGGCTGCTACTGAAAGGTTGACAGTTTGAACCCACCAGCTGCTCCATGGAAGAAAGATGTGGCAGTCTGCTTCCGTAAAGATTCCAAAAACCAAAATCCAAACCCATTGTCATTGAGTTAATTCCGACTCATAGCGACCCTATAGGACAGAGCAGAACTGCCCCATGGAGTTTCCAAGGCTGTAATCTTTATGGAAGCAGACTGCCACATCTTTCTCCCGTGGAGTGGTTGGGGGTTCAAATTGCCAACCTTTCAGTTAGCAGCCAAGTGCTTATCCACTGCACCACCAGGGCTCCTTTCTGTAAAGATTACAGCCTAGGAAACCCTATGAGGCAGTTCTACTCTGTCCTGTAGGGTCGCTGTGAATTGGAATTGATTCGATGGCAACAGGTTTGGTTTTTTGGTTTTATGAAACAATGGGATGAGAGCTGCAAGGTAGAGTACAGAGGACCATGTGTGACAGGGACCCCCTCTGGTCTGGGGCCCGGGGAGCTGCCTTTGGGGATCAATGAAGAAGAGGGAGGAGAAAGTTCCAGAGAGAGAGAGAACAGCATGTGCAGAGGCCCTGAGGTGGAGTGAGCATGGGGCCACTTTATTCCAAAGCCATGGAGTTTTGTTCTTTTGTTGGGTGCTCAGGTATGGTGGCCTGGCCTATGGGAGTCAAAAGTGGCTTCTCTGGGTGGTGCCCGGGCAGGAGATGGCTCTGCTTAGCTTGGCAGGGTGTCTGGGCTCAGCCTAAGTTACAGCGTGAGGCCTGGGTGAGAAAAATCTTCCTCTGGGCATGAGGTGGATGGCAGTTGGGAAACCTTGGCTGGGCGCTCTCGGTGCCCTGGGTGCTGGGCAGGGCTGCGTCCTTCTGGAGGTGACATGTGGCACCCAGGTTTCTACACCTCAGGCACCTTTACACGCCCAGAGAGCCATGGAGCCTTCCAAAGAGGCTGGAGGCTGGGGTGGCCCTGCTAGGTGTATTCTGCGACCTGAGCCTTTGGGTTCAATGGTTCTGAATCTAGGTGGGAACAAGGGTGGTTTCCGGGTGCCTGTGTGTTCAGCCCCTGGATGTGGGCTTGGCCTCTGAGGGCCCGAGAGGTGCCTGGAGTCCTACTACTGCAGTCTGGGTTCTGGAGCGTGACACAGAAGCAGCTCAGAGGATAAGTGTCAGCTGCCCTACTCATGGTGAAGTGATGAGTTACGGGGTCAGAGTGTGTCTCTGAGCAGCTTTCTTGTGTGTCTGGGTAAGGACACTGCCCAGTGGACTGAACTGCCCCCGTGACCAGGGGCTGTCTTCCTGTGGGGTACCCAGTCCTGTTTTGTCCACTGGTAGGGATGATAAGCTGGCTCAAGTGCCTCCTGTGGCCACGTGGTCTGACATTTCCAGATCCTTCCTGATTCACACACTTGTCCCCAGGATCCGGGGCTGTGGTGTATTTTTAGTGGGCTTGGCTCACTTTTAGCTTAATCTGTCCCTTTGGAAATGGCCCAGCTTGGGCAGAAGACACTGATGGGGTGGGTGCTTGGGGAGGGTTTACATTCAAAAAGGAGCCACGGAAGGCGACTCGCCAAAACCGTGACCCTGTCAGGCATGCGGGAGCTGGTGAGGGACACACGGCTGGGGATGGGGGCGCCCCATGCCTGCAGCCCCCAGTGCCCCGTCCACTCCCCCAGTCCACAGCCTGGGCTCTGAACACACAGCTGCGTGCCTGTGCTCCCCCTGAGCATCTGAGGCTGTCTGTGACATTGGTGTGAGGGGGACTTTGTGAATCGCTGGGGACCTGCCAGTTCAGCCCCAGAAGTTGTTGCCTTGGGGAAATGTCACAGGGAGTTCCCTATCACCTTTGCTGATCTGACCATGAATCAAACCTCTGGGATCCGCTGAGCTTTTGTCCAAATGCCCTCAACAGAGTGAGGGTTATGGGCAGTCGCAGAAGTGAATTCACACTCCCGCTCTCTGCTCTCCCATGTCTTGCAGGAAGGAGCCGACTCACTGGCTTCCGGGCAGCACAAATGAGGGAACTGGGCTGACCTTTAACTTGAAGAAACCAGGGACACCTCGCCTATCCCGTCCCCACCCAGTGTACCTGCCGTTGCTCCGGCTCGTCCTCACTGAGACTGCTCTCCCAGCACTCCCTGCCGGCCTAGTTCCTGTGTGGATGCCTGGGTCAGCATCTCTTTGCTCTGTGTGTTCCAGGGATGCTCCTTGCAGGCTGCGCTCACCCTTGGAAGCTAACCATGGGCCCCCCAAGGGCCATGTTGCCGGGACTCGATGCTGTCTGTGGGCCATGGGGATAAAAGACTCTGGGGAAATGCCTGATTTCCCCCAAGAAAGAGCTTCAGCCCGTCCCAGGCCTGGGGTTGCTCGCAAGAAGGAGCTGGAGCCACGTACCAGGGTGTCATGGAGGGGAGCAGTTGGGCAGCCTGGCTGGGTTCAGAATGTCTTGGGTGTGCAACATAGTATCACGGAAAGGGTCCAGTCCTTGCTTAGCTTCAGTGTTTTTTATCTCTGTAACTGGGAAATGAAGTCTGCCCCCTGCCAGGGCCATGTGGGGCGCGAGGTGATCCCCCCGGCACGTCTGTGTTTCAGACTGAGCTGAGGCTTCCTTCCGGAGAAGATGGCGGCCCTGCACACGAGGCCAGGTGCCCCAGCCACCCGGCTGGACGGGGCAGAGGATGGGTCGGAATGCAGTCCTGATCGGGAGGAGGAGGAAGAAAAGGAGGAAGAGGTGGAGGAGACGGAAGAGGAGGAGGAGGAGGAGATGGTAGTGGAGGAAGAGGAGGTGGTGGAGGTGGCGGCAGAGGCGCAGGTGGCAGAGGTGGCGGCAGAGGCGCAGGTGGCAGAGGTGGAAGAGGAAGAGGAGGTGGGGGCCGAGGAGCAGAGCCCGGTGTTGGGGACCCAGGAGCGACTGAATGGAGATGGTGATGCCAAGGCCCCAGGGCTTCAGGAGAAGGGTAAGGAGAAGGAGCCAGTGGGGGCAGAAGTCAAGGAGCCAGTGGGGGCAGAAGTCAAGGGGCCTGGCGGGAGGAGCTGGAGTTGGAGTACCAGGGCCCCGGTGTGGAGTCGGGAGCAGCCCGGAGCTGCTGGACGGGCAGAGGGGGCCAGGGCACGGTCGATGCCAAAGGGCAGATGGCTCCTAAGAGACTGCTCCCCTCAGCCATGCAGACCACCTGGGTTCCAGCCATTCCTGGGGATGACCTGGAGGAGGAGGAGGACGAGGAAGAGGATGATGAAGAAGAGGAGGAGGAAGCTGAGGATGATTTCCTAACAGCTGGGTCCCAGGTGAGCTGCCTCCTCTTGGTGGAGCCAAGTGATTGATTGGGCAGGCTTTCCCAGGGAGGCCTTAGTGTCTGCTGCCCTGGGGACGCCGTCAGCAGTGGCAGAGCACTGGGGTGCTCACACCCAGGCTGACTCTGAGCCGGTCGGGGATGCAGGAAGCTGCTGGGGGCTCCAGCCCCATGCTGACAGGCTATTGGCTCTTCTCCTGGGACCTGACCTCCCTAGGCCACTGGAATGTCTCGATTTCTTTGTCCACCCCCCACTCAGCTGCCCTCTCCACAACACCTGGCTCTGCCCTGAAGTCTGGGCTGCTCCTGCCTGCAGAGGTGTCACCTGTCCAGGGCTCTTCCTTCACCTGTAGAGGCTGTCACCTGTCTAGGGCAGGGCCCTGCCTGCAGAGGTGTCACTTGTCCAGGGCCTGGTTCTCGCCACCCATCAGCCTGGGCACCAGAGCTCACAGTCGGTGTAGTCGGTACCACTTGTCCACCTAGAGTGGGCCTTCTTGCAGCTGACGTGGCCATGGCATTGCTTCAGCCAGACTGGAGCAGGAGGGGTGGTGAGGCAGCCAGAGCAGGCCAGGGGCATTTGGGCTCTGTCATCTCCTGGCCACAGCGTGAGTCCCAGCTCTGTCCCGATGGGCTGTGCTGTCACCTCTCCAAGCCCCAGTTCCCCGTCTCTGAAACAGGACCTGGGTCCCACTTCCAGGGCTTTGGGGGAGCCTGAGAGCCTTCATGCTGTGGTGGCATTTTAAACCCATCAGTGGGGGGCTGGGGTGTCCCCTGTGAGAGCCTTGTTGCGGGGTCTCAGTCCATCTCCTTACGTGGGCCCCCAGTGCTGCTCTGTCCGCAGCCGGGGCCACGGAGGGCAGTGTCCCAGCCTTTGTTTTCTAGGGGCTGGTGACCTTTGAGGATGTGGCCGTGTACTTCTCCCTGGAGGAGTGGGACAGGCTGGATGCAGGCCAGCGGGACCTCTACAAGGACGTCATGCAGGAGAACTACGGGATCCTGGTGTCTCTGGGTAAGGAGGGGCCCCATGTCCCCAAGAGGTAACCTGCTCGCTGGGCTGCCAGGGCATGGCTGTTGGAGAGGGTGGCTTCTGGGCCCTCAGGTCTTGGAGAAGGGTGTGCTGGAGCCAGCCTGCCTCAGGGAAGCCCGGGGAGCATGCTTGCTCCTGGACTGGGGTGTCCTGGGGCCCTCCATGGCCCAGGAGCCCCTGAGCTGGGTGGCTGTGTTCCATGGAGCTGCGAGTCCGGCTCTGGGTTCTGGGCACACTCCCCAGAAGCCTCCAAGTTGTGAGGGTGAGGTGGAGGAGGAGAGGTATGGGTGCCCCTCGGGTGAAGGTGTGTAGAGGGGTGGGCAGAGTGAGCCGGGCAGTCAGCTCTGGAAGAGAAGGGAAGGTGGGTTTTCCCAGAGCAGAGCAGGGAGGTGGCTAGGCCAGGATGGGTGGAGAAGAGGAAGTGAAAAGTAGATGGTGACAGATCTGCGGGTGAGGGCGGTGGGCGGCCAGTTGCAGCCCTGAGGTACTGGCTGTGTTCCTCCCGGGCAGGATACCCAATCCCCAAGCCAGACCTGATCTTCCACCTGGAACAAGGGGAAGAACCATGGGTCCCAGACAGCCCCCATCCTGAAGAGGGAGACATCGTCACTGGCGTCTACACAGGTGAGAATGAGCGGAGATCTCGGGTTTCTGCCTGCACGGCTCCTTGGAGCTCTGTCAGAACATGGCCTCACCAAGCTCTTCTGGCGGTTCCCAGTGCAGATGTTCTGGGGCATCGAGGAGGCTCCATGGGGACCAGGCAAGCCTCTCTCCAAACCTCCGCCTTCACGTCTTGGTTCCTCTTGGTCCCAGCCCCATAGAGGCCCAAGGTCTGGAGGGTCCTTCTTGTTGTGTGCCATTACGTTGATTCCAACTCAAAGTGACTCTGTAGGACAGAGTAGAATGCCTCATAGGGTTTCCTAGGGTATAATCTTTTGGGGGCAGATCACCAGGTCTTTCTCCCAAGGAGCCACTAGTGGGTTCAGACTGCTGACCTTTTGGTTAGCAGCTGAGCACTTAACTGTTGCCCCACCAGGGCTCCTTTGATGGTGCTTCCAAACGAAACCCAAACCCATTGCTGTCGAGTTGTTTCCAACTTATAGTGACCCCATAGGGTTTCCAAGACTGTAAATCTCTACAGAAGCAGACAGCCACATCTTTCTCCTGCGATGTTGCTGGTGGTTTAGAACCACCAACCCTTCATTTAACAGTCTAGTGCTTTAACCACTGCCCTGGAAGGTGCTTACCAAAAAAAAAAACAAACCAGTTGCCATTGAGTCGATTCCAACTCATAGTAACCCTACAGGACAGAGTAGAACTGCCCCATAGGGTTTCCAAGGAGCCGCTAGTGGATTTGAACTGCCAGGCTTTTGGTTAGCAGGCAAACACTTAACCACTGTGCCACCAGGGCTTTGGAAAATGCTTATAGAGAGTCTTAAAAAAATGAGTTGTCATGGAGTCGAGTCTGACTCATGGTGATCCCATGCGTGTCAGAGCAGAACTGTGCTCCGTAGGTTTTCAATAGCTGAGTTTTCAAAAGTAGATCTCCAGGCCTTTCTTCTGAGGCACCTCTGGGTAGAGTCAAACCACCAACCTTTAGTTAGCAGCCTAGCACATTAACTGTTTGCCCCACTCGAGAACTCCTAGAGACTGTTGTTGTTGGGTGCCATTGAGTCAATTCCAACTCAGCAACCCCGTGTGACAGAGTAGAACTGCCCCATAGGGTTTTCTAGGCTATAATCTTTACAGGAGCAGATCGCCAGGTGTGCCGTCCTGTGGAGCTGCTGGTGGGTTCAAACCTCTGACTTTTCAGTTAGCCGCTGAGCACATTAACTGCACCTCCCAGGGACTCCTAAAAGTAAGTCCCTGTCCCTGCCTTGGATACTGTGGTTTTAGGATATTTTTGTTAGTGAGGGCAGGTTGTCAAGTTATGGCTCAGTGCTGGGGCTGGGCACATGGAGCTGAGCAGACTGTCAGATCAGGGAGTGATCGAGCTGCATCACCTTTCAGATCCAGAGCCTGCAGCCCGTCCTCTTGCTTCTCCACCCGTTTGGCCAACTCTTAAACAAAGGGCCCCATCAGGCCCCCTCCCCTCCCTGGAAAGCCCAGGAGTAGGCCGCAGGTGGTCGCCCTGACCTGAGTGGGCAGCTCTGGCCTTCCAGGGGGAGGAGGTTTTGGAGAAGTGTGCACAGAAGGCATTTGGGGTCGAGTTCTCCAGAGGACTCGGATGTAGCTCCAGCTCTCTTCCTTCAAACCCCTGAGCCTTGCTTTATACATCTGGAGAATCAAGAATGTGAACCAAACCCATAGTTTCCCGACCCTAGGGAATCAGCCTCTCGGTTCTCTTGGGGTGCTTCACGGGGGGCTGTGAGTTGTTCTGTGTGTGTCAGGAAGCTCAGTGGAAGTCTGTGCCCCAGTGGGCACTCTTGGCTTTGGGCTAGAGTGACGCCAACCTCACGAGGGTGCCCTCGGTGTCACAGCCCTGACACAGTCTCAGGTAGACGTGGAGCAGGGAGCAGACGTTTTCAAATAAAAATACAGAAAAACTTGTAACCGACAATTTGAGTACGCACGTACTTCTCAGTGTCCTCACGCGTTCTGTTTCTGTCGTTGTAACGACTCTAGGAAGTAGCCACATTAAGATGAGCCTGACTTTTACAGCAGTTATTGCGTGACTGGGCACCGGTCTCCGTCCTCAGGCCCTTCTCCGTGTTGCCGACGCCCTTTCTGCAGTACCTTTCCACCCTTACCGGGACCCTCCTGGATTCTTTCCTGGGCTTCAGAATCGGGAGGTGGGGGACTCTGGCTGGCAAATGATACTGCCGCCACCTCCAGGCTGAGGCTGGGAATGGGCAGTCCTTTCTCAGAGGAGCCAAGCGGGAGGCCTGCCCTAGTTACAAGCATATCTTGCAATATCCGTCTGGAGGCAGCGGGGACACGGGCCTGCACTGGTTCAGATGTGCCCCGGTTCTCCATGTTTCTTGAAGGGTGCTGGGGTGGAGCCTTTGCAGGCTCCAGCCTGGGGTCCTGTCTTAATTTCTTTCTTTCTTTTTTTTTATTGAATGCAATGAAAAGTGATCTAACGGGTGGCAGAGCAGGACACGTGAATCTGTTACCATCCAGAATCCCTCCCCCTTCAGATGAGCCTGAGCAGCTGGAGACCTGTCTCAGTTATCTAGTGCTACTATAACACAAATACTACAGGTGGGCAGCTTTAACAAACAGAAATGGATTTTCTCACAGTTTAGGAGGCTGGAAGTCTAAATTTTGCACACCAGCTCTACGGGAAGGCTCTCGGTTGGCTCTTGGGGAAAGTCCTTGTCTCTTTTCAACTTCTGTTCCTCGGTTCCTTGGTGATGTCCACATGGCATCAGTCTTCCCCCTTTTGTCCTTACTTGCTTCTCTGCCCAAACTGCTCCTTTTATTTCTCGAAAGTGATTGGCTGAAGATATATCCTACACTGTATAGCCTCGTTAACCTAACAAAGAAATTCCTATTCTCAAATGGAATTATTTCCACAGATATAGCATATATATCTTGGGGACACAATTCAGTCCATTACAGGTCCCCTTTGAGTCCGGGCAACCTGCACCACATGATTTGTGTCTGGCTGGCTTGTGAGTGCTCCGCGATGGGGCTATTGGGCCAGTGCGTCTGCTCTTACCTGTGGCCAGTCACTGGTGGGCCTGGGACTGTCCTTGGGACTCGTAGTGGGCGCCGGGTCTGGGCAGTCCTGGGTGTGTCTCATGCCGACGTGGACGGGCCGCAGTAGCAGAGGCTGTGGGTGAGCTCGGGCAGGGAGTCTCCACCTCCAAGCCTTTCTTTGTGACTGTAACTGCAGTCCATCTGCTAAATGCCCCCACCTATTCTTCCCTGCATTCGTTTCTGTTCAGCTGGGCTGGTCGAGAATTGCTGGGCCTGGGCAGGACAGACGCTGTTCTGAGCCCAACCGCATTTCTGTATTTCTGTATTGTAGTTTGCAAGACACTAGTGCGCTCTGAAGACCTCTCTTGTGTTTCTTGACAAGTTGAGCCACACATAAATTTGGGACTCTTGCCAAGTCGTCCTACTCGGGTGCTCGCCACCTCCCGAATCCTGACTTGAATCCTTCTGTCCCCTTTCCGGGTCCCCCATGGCAGAGCGCCTGCAGCCTGCTGGGCTTCCTCACTTCTCCTCACCTCTTCTGGCCTCACCCCTCCTGCCATCCCTTTCCTCACCCGGCTTACGGTGCAGGGTCCCTCCCTCCCTTGGATGTGCCCACTGTGGTCGCCTGGCAGACCCCTGCCCCTGGAGTGGGGCACACAGCTGGAGAAAGGCCTGCAGGCAGGCTGACCACCAGCCTCAGGTGGACACCCTCTGCCAGCCTCTGGCACTGCATCATGGAGGGCCAGAAACCTCTGGGAGCCAGAGTCTCTCCCGTCCAGTCAGTGCATATGGCCAAGAAGGTTCCCCCTCCCCAGATGGCTGACCTTGAGCCCCTGCTCTGCCTTTGATCCAGATACCCCTTGTAGTCTCTCAGTCCCTCCAAAGTTGAGTCCTTCAGAGCATATGTCTCAGGAAAACGAAGGCTGGCGCCCCTCTCTGCACCCCTTGGGGCAGGCTCCCCCAGGCTCCAGAGGAGAAACAGTGCTGATCCTCAGCCTGTCCTGCCCTTGGCCACCTCCCCCACTCCCAGCTGCTGAGAAGGGCATCCCACACTGCCCCTCGCCAGCGCATCCTGTCCCCCCTGGCTGGGAATATCTGACCAGTACTCACTTGGATCCAAAAGAGGGTTTTGGATCTGAGTGAGAGCCAGCAAACTCCCTCGAATCTTCCCACTCCCGGCTACAGCCTGAGTCAGCTGTTACGGTTGCACCCGCCCTCCAGGCCCTGGGCCACTTTGTCAGCAGGAGAAAAGTGAACAAAGCCTGGCCTCGGGCAAGCTGGTCTTCCTGTGGGTTCCCGTTGGGTACCCCAAATGGCCCTGCTACTTCCTGAGAGTCTTGTCTCAGGGTGCAGCCAGCTCTGCCTTCTGAGAACTTGGGTGCAGATATTTACGGGTTCTTTGCTAGGTCCTGAGGTGCCAAGACACAGCCTGCTAAGACACTGAACTTGAATCTTTCCCTGCCTGCCTTGGGGAGGGGGAATCTCTGATTAAAAACAACTCAAGGAACCCTCCGCAGAGTCTAAAGGTAAAATCCTCTTTGAGACTCATGGAAGTTGTCCCCAACCTGCATCTCCCGTCACCAGTTTCTCCCCACCCTTGGGGGTGCCCCTGCCTCCCCAGGCCTGGGCACAGTCACTGCCAAGCAAAGACTGATATCCAGTGAGGAGGAAGTGGGCCTCTTCTGTGCAGCCCACGAGGGCTTAAACACTTCACATCCCTCATTCGCAGCCTTAGGTGGGAGGTGGAGGTAAACTCAGCTTCATCACAGGACAATTATGTCTTCTTTTTGAAGCTTATTTTTACTGTAATAGTATAATATTACTAATTATAGAAAACTTAGAAACGATCATAAGGTATGAAAAAATAAAATAGCCTATTTTCTCATCCTTCTGTACAATGCAGGTCTGGGTCTGCCTTTATTTCACTCGGCACTGCTCTGTGCTTGCTTTCCCTGGCACTGCAGCTTTCTGGAGAGAACACCAGATAGAACAGGGCAGGTGGAGGCAAGCTGCCTGGCCATCTGCGGGCGCCAGCTCCCCCTCCCCGAGTAGTATACAGTGGTCTCAGCTCCCCTGACTGGGTGACCCTGACACCAGCCAGAGCATTGGAGGAAGGGATTCCTACCCAGTGTGGGGGCATGACCCTTCCAGATGCTGGGTTTTTGAGGTGGGCACAGTGCAAGGTGTTCATGAGGTCAGGCATATGGGTGCTTTGGAACATCAGGGGCTACCATGGGCCAGGCTGTCCCGCCTGGTGTCTGTGGACTTCGTGCCTGCCCCAGGAACATTGGTTCCCTCCTGGGTGTACAGTGATGGCAGGCAGATTACATCCCATCCTGCAGAGGAGAAAACCCAACAGAGCCAACTCCCCAGCCGTGCCCTATGTTGCCTGCACAGCCCCCTTGTGGGGAACAGAAGGGGGCGGTCAGGTGCAGCTTGGGGGAACAGGGATAGGACAGCAGGTGTCAGCAGATGGGGGACCATTTCCCCAATGCAGTGCAAGCTGAGGGGTGCTTCGCAGGGAAGGCACCAGGCTCTGAGGGCTCACATGCACGTGTGAGAGTCTGCAGCACAGCTTCTGGCTCCTTAGCGTGCGTACGGAGAGCTGGGCTGCTGGCCCTCTAGGCCTCTCTCCTCAGCCCAGGGCAGCTTCTCCTGGGCTCGATGTGGGAGTGGGAGGGAGACCCCTGGCTGCTGGCCAGCCTGAGGCTGGTGGAGAAGACCCTGAGAGAGGGAGATGCTGAGCTAAGCTTAGATGCTCATCAAGGCCAGTCCTTGCTGGACACTTGAGGCCGAGTAGGCTGGCCCAGGAAGTTCTCAGGAGACCAGAGGCTTTGGGGAGACCACCTCTGGGGTCTCCATTTTTCTGGGCAGAGGGCCGCATTAGCCTCAGGTCTCATGGGAACCTGCAGACAAGCTCACCCACTTCGTGCTGTGTCTACCTTTCTGTAGGGTTTGCAGGCCTGGGAGGGAGCGGGCCGTCTGGAAAAGGTATTAGTTGAGGCCATTGACGACAGCCCAACAAGTAAAGGACCCCCAGGCTTTGGAGGGGTGACACCCATGTGGGCATTCCTTGTGTCTATAAAGCTGCTAACTGGGGGAGGCAGTGGCTTCACTGCCCCTGGGCCATACAGGACAGGTGGTGGGGTATGGACAACCTCTTGTGCCCAATGAAGGTATCTTAGCCTGGGCCAGGCAGGGGAAACCTCCTGCTGGGAGAGCTTGGGGTTCCCCGGAAGTCTAGCAAGGACCTGCCTCTCCTCACTTCTCTTCTCTGGCCTCCTCCCTTGTCTCCTTCAGGGGCCTGGTTCTGGACCGACGACATGGAGGACCACGAGGAGGAAGACGATGAGGACTTCCTGGCAGAGGTGGCCGAGGAGGAGAATGAGCCCCCAGGGCTGTGGTCAGCGGCCTATGGCGTGGGGGACGTGCCTGGGACGTGGGGCCCCGACGACTCGGACTCGGCGCAGACCCCGGAGGGGTGGGGGCCCGACCCAGGTGGCCTCGCGATCCTGGCTGATGGATCCGAGGCGAAACCCTTCCGGGCCAGCCGGGAACCCAGCACGAACCTGCTGGCTCCCTGGGCGTTCCCGGCCACAGTTGCTGCCCCGGCTGGGCGGTCCGAGACTACCTGTGACGTGTGTGGCAAAGTGTTCCCGCATCGCTCGCGGCTGGCCAAGCACCAGCGCTACCACGCCGCAGTCAAGCCCTTCGGCTGCGACGAGTGCGGCAAGGGCTTCGTCTACCGCTCGCACCTGGCCATCCACCAACGCACGCACACCGGCGAGAAGCCTTTCCCGTGCCCGGACTGTGGCAAGCGGTTCGTCTACAAGTCACACCTGGTGACACACCGGCGCATCCACACGGGCGAGCGGCCTTACCGCTGCGCCTTCTGCGGCGCGGGCTTCGGCCGCCGCTCCTACCTTGTCACGCACCAGCGCACACACACTGGCGAGCGGCCCTACCCCTGCCCGCACTGCGGCCGCAGCTTCAGCCAGAGCTCGGCCCTCGCGCGCCACCAGGCTGTGCACACTGCCGACCGGCCGCACTGCTGCCCTGACTGCGGCCAGGCCTTCCGCCTTCGCGCGGACTTCCAGCGCCACCGTCG